CACACACACACACACACACACACACACACACACACACACACACACACGCGCGCGCGCGCGCGCGCGCGGACATTTTTTAAATGCGATTTTGATGTTTTAGAACATTCTGAACACATTGGCATCAAAAACTAAAAAACAATTTTTTCTTCGATTTTTTCTACTCTTATTTCATATACATATAATTGTTTAAGATTTGGTTAATTAGACCTAATTTTATACGCAATTAAAGGTTCATATGCGAGGTTTACAAAAACAAAGCTTTCTCTATAAGGAAGCAATACTTTAATTAAATTTAGATATTAATTATTTAGTAATCGATGCAACCACAGTTGCATCGATAATTCAATGTACTGGTTTCTTGTGATTTTATCTACATTTTACATCTTTTGATTTCAATCATTAAGTAAAAAAAATATTATTTTTAATGCATTTAAATGATCAGCAAGAGTCCTATCAATGTTTAAATTTAATATTTATATCTGTAGCTTACTTGTCACTTTATACATAAAAATGAAATTTATTGTAAAATTTATTCTATAAGTAATGAAACGCTTAATACATGTGAATATTTTATATAACACGATATCGATTACACTTACATAGAACAAACAATGTCTAATTCATAAAATTCAATTACATGTAGTATATGTAATAAATGCAGAGCAAGTTATTATTTGTTAAAAACTTGTTCCTTTACTTATCTCTTTTTTTGTTCCTTCTGTCTTTTTATACATATTAGATGATACTTCTGAGTCCTCTTAACGTTTCGCTTCTCTCATAGGCGTATCCATCTCTGTATCATTGTCCATATCACTCGTATCACTGCTTGAACTTGGATCAGTTTTCCTATATTTATATGCAGAATGTAAAGATAAAGTAAGAAATGTAAGGATGTTAGTTTTCATTATGCATGCTATGCCGTTAGAAGTTAAGACTATCGTTTTAAGAATCTAAATTATTCATTTATTTAGAGTAATTAAGGTAGTACGTCCGTAAACTCATTTTCTTAGGAATCTTGTAAAATTTAAACAGTATATTAATGTAAACACATTTTATACACATGTGCAAATAGAAAAAGATTGACCGAAATTGCAATAACGGAAGTCAAAGTTAGCACTTTTTACATGTATCGCAAGTACGAAAACAACTTCCGATATCACACGTTTCTAATTGTAGTGATCAAACTATTCTTACGGTTTTAATGAAAAACAAGAAGAGACTTACAAAAATATTCTTACAAAAATACAAGATCTTCGACCGTTTATACTCTCTAGTTTCGAAGTAATTGATACGTAAAGTACACAATTTCTAATAGCGGTGGACGTATATGACAGCTAATCTATAAAGATCTAATAGCACACATTAGTATCTATGTATCTGTACATATGAGATTCTTATACACACATGCATAACGCAGATTCCAGCCAAATACTTTATGTCATATGTCTATCATTAACTTTTGACAGCATTGTCACGGATGAACTACCTTAAATGTTTAGACTTAAATTACATAGAATTACAGACGGAATTGCGACTAAAAAGACAATTTTGATCATAATACAAATAATTATTATATAAGAGTGCTTGTCATTTGTGTGTATAATATTTTCTTTAATTACCTATTGTACATTTTAACAATTTTATGTTCTTCAGTATTTTAATCAAATCTTTAATGTGTACTTACTCATGAGTTTTCAAGTGATCGGTCAAAAATGCAGGTGTTAGTGCATAAAACTGTATATTACATTTGTGGCATTTTGCATATGCTTTGTCATTTATTGTGAAGTAATCCCAGAACCAATGAAAGTTTGTTTCATTTTTCTCTATTTCTGTTAATTTGTCTTTATGTTTACACTTCAAGTGTTCATGTAAAATATTATGTGCATTTTTGTAACAAATTACTATAAAGCAATAATTGCATTTTGCCGCATCTCCTTTTAATTTTGAATAATGCCCTCGTATGAAGCGACGTACTGGAATCTTCTTTTTATTTACGTCATATTCTATATCATGTACGAAATCTTGTTTTATATTATGTTCACAGACTAAATGCTCTCCTAATTTTGTTAATGTTTCTTTATATGATAAAGAATAAGTTTTATTATTCAAGAAAGGATCGTGACATTCTTGACACATTAATGTGGGAATATAATATTGCAACATCCACTCATCTCCTGCTTCCTGCTCTGCCATTATATTCGTTCTATGTCGCAGTTCTTTGTCTTCTTGACATATCGCTTCCTTTGTAGGCATATTCATGTCTGTATTGCTGTTCGTGTCATTGCTTGAACTTCGTACGGTTTTCCTACATTTATATTTAGAGTAATTATAAAAGTAAGAAATGTGATAAAAAAATTAGTTTCAAAAGTGCACACTATTCCGCTGGAAACCACAAGATTACCGTTTTAAGAATCTCATTATTTGACTATTTTGAAACGATTAGATGTCTAGACTTAAATATATTACACAGAATCACTGACGGAATTGCGACTAAAAACACAATTTCAATCATAATACGAATATAATTGTTATACATATACACTATCGTTTAATAGTTAGGAAGGACTACTGTTTTAAGAAAAACAAAACAGTAGTGCTAATACGTACTTCAAAAGAAAAATGTCATATGAGAAACTTTACTATCTGTTTTATCTATTCAACACAGTATTATTTGTTTCTAATCATTTTCCAGGGAAGTACTTTATTTAAAGAATTTTATCGAGTGAGCATGCTATTGTTCTGTTATAAAGAAAGAACAAGTTTTCATGGTTTAAGTGAAGTATAACAAATATGAAACTAAAAGTTATTATATTTTATTCAAACCATGAAAACTTGGTCTTTCTTCATAACGGAACAATGGCACAGCATATTCACTCGATAAAATTCTTTAAATAAAATATTTCCCTGAAAAATTATTAGAAACAAATAATACTGTATTGAATAGTTAAAACAGACAGTAAAGTTTCTAATGTAACATTTTTCTCTAAAAATATTAGTACCATTATTTTTCTTAAAAAAGTAGTGCTTCCAAACTTTTAAACAGTAGTGTATGTGCTTTGATAACTTGTGTCTGTTTCATTTTCTTTAGCTATTCAATATTTCATTACTATCTACTTTATATTCTTCAATGTTTTAATAAATTATTTTATGTATACTTACTCATGAGTTCTCACGTGATCAGTAAAAAATGCAGGTGTTAATGCATAAAATGTCATGTTACAAATGTTGCATTTTGCGAGCGATGTGTCATCTATTGTGAAGTAATCCCAGAACCAAAGAAATTTTGTTTCATTCTTCTCTATTTCCGTTAATTTGTCTTCATGTTTACGTATTAAGTGTTCATGTAAAATACTATAATTCCTGTTTTTGTAACTAATTAGTGCAAAGCAATGATTGCATTCTGCCACATCTTTTTTTAATTTTGAATAATGTTCTTGTATGAAGCGACGTACTGGAATCTTCTCTTTATTTACGTCATATTCTATATTATGTACGGAATCTTGTTTTATATTATGTTCACAGACTAAATGCTCTCCTAATTTTGTTAATGTTTCTTTAAACGATAAAGTACTAGCTTTATCATTCAAGAAATGATTGTGACATTCTTGACACATTAATGTGGGAATATAATACTTCAGCAGCCCCTCATCTTCTGCTTCCTGCTCTGCCATTATATTCGTTCTTAATGGCGGAGAGTTCGTGCCTTCTCGATGTTCCGCTTCTTTTGTAAGCGTATCCATGTCTGTATCACTGCACTGCAAATCCAAGTGTGTTATTTTAGCCGAAGCTCTTATACATTTTTTGCCGTTT